TGAGAAAATGACTTGGTTCAAAATTTCGTAATATATCTTCCGAACATACTCTTTCAATTGGATATTTGGGTAATTACCCACCTTAAAAAATTTCAGGTGGGTAGTACTACCCACCATACCCACTCCTTCCGCCGCCCCTGTATAGAGGTTAAAATTTTTTGAGTTTAAAACTCGAAAGGGGAAAATAGTCAAAGAATCAAAGTACACATTTTTCATATAATGAAGCTAGTGCATAGTTTTTCTCCTTTTCCATTGTAAAATAAACATTTCTAAAATAAATGCCTTTTATTACTATGTTTCGGTTTTTGTCATTTTTAGTGCCTTCATTTGCCTTTTTGCGATTTCTAGTGCCTTTTCCTGCATATTTTGTTNAATCTACTGTCTCACCAAGAATGAACTTTTCGAAAATTTTATAAAACCTTGCCGTTTCAGTATCAAATTTACTTGTCAGTGAGAAAATGACTTGGTTCAAAATTTCATAATATATCTTCCGAACATACTCTTTCAATTGGATATTTGGGTAATTACCCACCTTAAAAAATTTCAGGTGGGTAGTACTACCCACCATACCCACGCCTTCCGCCGCCCCTGTATAGAGGTTAAAATTTTGTAAATTTAAAACTCGAAAGGAGAAAATAGTCAAAGAATCAAAGTACAAATTTTTCATATAATGAAGCTAGTGCATAGTTTTTCTCCTTTTCCATTGTAAAATAAACATTTCTAAAACAAATGTCTTTTATTACTATGTTTCGGTTTTTGTCATTTTTAGTGCCTTCATTTGCCTTTTTGCGATTTCTAGTGCCTTTTCCTGCATATTTTGTTATTTTATTTTGCCTTTTCTTGCCTATTTCATAATTTTATTTTGCCTTTTTATAGGTTTTTAGGTCTTAAAAATCTAAGAAATCGCCTCATGGAAACAAGGCAGGAAAATTACTTTTTTTTAAATATAATATGCCCCCTTTGAACTTTGACTACTCGATTAAAACACTTTATAGGTTAAGCACTTGTTCAATGTTCTAATAATTTACAATATCTTTAAGTAATAAAAGTTGTTGATCATAGCTTTTTTAATGTTTCATTTGCATTTGCAAAAAATGTCAAAACAAAAAATAATAATGACGTTTAAAATAAAACATTTTTAAAATACAAGCGGAAAATGAATTACATGGTAAGAAAAATTCGTTTTCGAACAAAACGCTTTCAAATCGGATTACGTTGTAGCCACCCTGGCGCCTAAATACTAAACACACTCGTAATTTTACTTTGTTATCTGTTTGAAAAATTTTTCTCCTAATAAATTCGACTTCGAGGAAGGGTAAAAGTATTAATATATACCAAATATTAATGTAGATATCGAAAACTATGAAAAGCATATCAATAACACCATCGATAAAATATCACAGCAATAACTGCATATATAACTAAATTTGTCATAAACGATATCGATAAANCTTTAAGTAATAAAAGTTGTTGATCATAGCTTTTTTAATGTTTCATTTGCATTTGCAAAAAATGTCAAAACAAAAAATAATAATGACGTTAAAAATAAAACATTTTTAAAATACAAGCGGAAAATGGATTACATGGTAAGAAAAATTCGTTTTCGAACAAAACGCTTTCAAAACGGATTACGTTGTAGCCACCCTGGCGCCTAAATACTATACATACTCGTAATTTTACTTTGTTATCTGTTAGAAAAATGTTTCTCCTAATAAATTCGACTTCGAGGAAGGGTAAAAGTATTAATATATACCAAATATTAATGTAGATATCGAAAACTATGAAAAGCATATCAATAACACCATCGATAAAATATCACAGCAATAACTGCATATATAACTAAATTTGTCATAAACGATATCGATAAAATATCTCCGACTGACCGATAATAGGTAGTTAATAACTATATCGATAAAAATAATGCTAATTATATTTATTAAAAAGAACAGAAAATTCCTTTTTCCATAGTGATATTGACAACTATAGAGAATTTAGTAATTGTTTTTTTTTTTAAGACTTGCAATTATTTCCAGGCTTATTTAAAATTTTCGTGACTTTCCACGCATTAATCCAGGCTTTTTGGGGGTCTCGGAAATTTTCAAGTGAATATTTATATTTTATCTTTGCTTTCTTTTGGCTTTTTACTATATAATGTCGTCCGCCACGATTTTGCGCCCATGAAAAATTCAAGCGTTTTCTGAAAGTAGCGACAAAAAAGGATGGGGAAAAAATAGTACCCCTATTTTGCCGTTTTTCTAGATTAAGTCATTTACGGTTTTTATGGAAAAAAAAAACCCTCAAACCTTATGCTAAATCGGTGAGTAGTATATTGCTTGTGATTTTTTGAACTTTACTAAACTTCGTAGGCAAGGGGTTTTGAGATTGTTGATTAAGAATCCGAAGAAATTTTTTAAAAAATTCAAAACGGCGGAGCCTATATGGTGGGTGGATTTTTTTTTAGTTTTCAGATTTTTATGAAGTTTGATATGCGATTGTTCTTTGGGTAGCTAATAACATACTCCGAATCAGTGTTTAAAAATTCAAAATGGGGGATCCAATACGGCGAATGGATTTTGAAAANGACAGATGTAGCGGTAATCACAGCAATAACTGCATATATCACTAAATTTGTCATAAACGATATCGATAAAATATCTCCGACTGACCGATAATAGGTAGTTAATAACTATATCGATATAAATAATGCTAATTATATTTATTAAAAAGAACAGAAAATTCCTTTTTCCATAGTGATATTGACAATTATAGAGAATTTAGTATTTTTTTTAAGATGTGCAATTATTTCCAGGCTTATTTAAAATTTTCGTGACTTTCCACGCATTAATCCAGGCTTTTTGGGGTCTCGGAAATTTTCAAGTGAATATTTATATTTTATCTTTGCTTTCTTTTGGCTTTTTACTATATAACGTCGTCCGCCACGATTTTGCGCCCATGAAAAAATCAAGCGTTTTCAGAAAGTAGCGACAAAAAAGGATGGGGAAAAAATAGTACCTCTATTTGCCGTTTTTCTAGATTAAGTCATTTACGGTTTCTATGGAAAAAAAAACAACCCTCAAACCTTATGCTGAATCGGTGAGTAGTATATTGCTTGTGATTTTTTGAACTTTACTTAACTTCGTAGGCAAGGGGTTTTGAGATTGTTGATTACGAATCCGAAGTAATTTTTTTAAAAATTCAAAATGGCGGAGCCTATATGGTGGGTGGATTTTTTTTTAATTTTCAGATTTTTATGAAGTTTGATATGCGATAGTTCTTTGGGTAGCTAATAACATAACTCGAATCAGAGTTTAAAAATTCAAAATGGGGGATCCAATACGGCGAATGGATTTTGAAAAAATTTTCAGATTTTTATGAAATTTGACATCCAAAGATTCTTTGAGTTGCTGATTACAAAACTGAAATGAGTTTTCAAAAAATGAAAATGGCGGATCAAATATCGCGGACGAATTTTTAAAAAAGTGTCAGTTATTTAAGAAATTCGATATCCAAATCTTCTTCGAGTCGCTGATTACAAAACTGAAATTCGCAATTTGTCGTCATGCACTTAACTGTCGTAGAATAGTTATCTCGAAAGCGCCCAAAGCCTTCTCATCTTCGTTCGACATGATGAGAGATTTGTTTAAACTTCAATTCATTCAAAAATTGGTTATTCATACGTCATGTACACCTACTTAAAGGCATTATTTACCACATTGCAGTTTTGTTCGCTTCAATTGCTCGTTGTTACAGAAATGTTTTTCGAAATTCAAGGCAGTAAATTACGCTTACCTTCCCAAGCTTTTGTGCTTGGCATATTTTGCAACCTATTTTTTCCACTCAAGCGTCTATAAGGCCTACCATGCTTGCAGGCAATTAAACTCTCAACTCGCTCACTTGGTTTGCATATCGTTTCACTTATGAGTTATGAGTGTTGTTTACGCCCACACATGGAAAAAGGGGCCGGCTTGGGCCATTTACGATTTTCGAACACATTTACTACTTTATTTCCGTTTTAGTTAGGTACTTTTTAAGCGAATCTTCTCTTCTTTTATAAAATTTACTATTCGGCTGACTAGTCATTGCTACTTGGCAGACTGCCAGTAAAATTACCATCGATGGGCGGTTATTCCAAATTCAATTTTTGCATGAAAACAAAAGGCATTGTTCGATGGTTCTACGAAGTATAAGAAAGAGGAAATGAGAAGAGGAAGAGAAAAACTTTTGTTAAAAATGGCAATGTGTCGCATGAAAAGTTTAGCGCATACAAAAATAAATGTTAAAAAAAATGTAAACTAGAAGAATTAAATTTTCTAATTAAATACACAAAGTAGTTTATTACCTTTTTATTTTAAAACTCTATCTTTTTCATATTCATTCTTAAATACTTTGCTGAAAAAAATCTCTTAAGTAAGCTGCAGCTTTACTATACGCCTCTACAATTTAAGCTCCACTTGGAAGAGTTGAGCTTTTGGCCGACAACAAGACTCTTTGAATATTCATGAATTACTACAGAAGCATTAAAATAAATGCAAAATACATACATATAAACAGAATAGTCACTTCAAATCATTGCTTGTTGCAATTCATTTTACGACACTTCGATTACGTGGCAGACGCTGCAATAAATCAGCAAGCTCACAAAATGGCAAAGGCTTACGTACATACATATATAGCACCTGGATGCTGCCATTTGAATGCAAGTAGCTAATACCACTTAAGACCAAGAGCAAAGAGAGAAAGGCTGCTGGCACTCAGTTAGTAAATAACTGAGAAGTGTAGGTGGGTCTGCAAAGGTGATGAACTTTCACTGATTGCTTGCCAAACCAAGGGAAGAACGGCAGAAGAAGGCGCGGCCACGAACAGCACCACAACTCATAAATTATTAGCTGAGGTTATAAAATACAAAATGATGCCAAATAAAAAGTATTCAGCGCGCTCACATTACATTACTTAAGGTTGTCAAAAGTCGTTGAAAAAAAAAACGCAAACATATTTTCTATTTTTATATTCGAATGTTAATTGTATTTATTATAACTTAGCAACAAGTCCTAATTCTAAGTGTAGCTATCGTTCGTTGATCCGTGGACTTCTTCGTTGTAGCTTCAAAGCACTGAAAGCTGGCCAGATAGAATTTTGGGTAAGGTTTGCATTCGCACATCAATTTTATCACCAATTTCATAGTCAGTGTTCTCAGCGCAAGGGCTACAACCGCAGCTTGCCGGGACGTCAACCTGTGAAAAGTAAAAAAGATGTAATTTTTGTTAGTCTTCGGCTGATTTTGGAATTTATTCTTAGTCTTAGACTGAGGCGTAGTCTTAGTTTAGACTAACAGGGCAATTCTGGCAATTTTCTTTCAACTCACCACAGTCTTTCAAAAGCAAAACCCGTTCGCTATTTAGCAATCAGTTTTTTTAATAAAAAAAATCATACTTATATGTGTGCTTTTCGTTTTAAAACAATAAAAATTAATAAATAGAAGAAAATTAAATTAGAAACAGGAAAGAACTTATCAAAAAAGAAGGAAATAGTACTTAAAACTTAAATTAGGTAAAAAATATTTGTATTATAAAAAGACAAAAGAAACTCAAAATTAAATGAAATGAAAAATATATTTTTCTATTTAAAACAGCAAAATCAAAAAATTTAAAGCAAATGAAATATAAAAACCAAAAGAGTAACAAATTAAATTTAAAAAAGAAGAAATAAATAAAACGAATTTCCAAAAAAATTAAAATTAAAAAAAACTGTTTTTCTTTCCTACATAATAAAACCTAACTGAAAAAATTAAAAAAAAAAAACAAATATATACAAATATATACTAATTATAAAAAATAAATAAGTTCCTAAAAATTTAATTGAATTAAAAAAATATATATTTGGCTTTTAAAAAAAATTTCTGAAAAATTAAATTGAAAAGGAAAAAAATTTTATTAAAAAAACAATAATTAAAAAAGTCCCTCTGCGCCAGGACTCGAACTCAGATGTCTCGCGAGTGGCGCGAGTTATATGATATACAAGTGCTTTCTCTCACAATAGCTTTTCACCACAAGTGGTGAATCAGAGAGCTTTTTTTATAAGACTTTTGTGATAGAATAACACAAGTCTTTCCAACTATCTTGCCATCTGTCTTTCATTTATCTTCCGAAAGATGTTGTACTATCTTAGCCAGAATTGTCCTGTTAGTCTCAGCCTCAGTCTTAGCCTAAGTCTTATTCTTAGCCTTAGTCTTAGTTTTAGTCTTAGCCTTAGCCTACTCTTAGTCTTAGTTTTGTCTTAGCCTTAGTCTTAGTTTTAGTTTTAGTCCTAGTCTTCGTCTTAGGCCTAGTCTTAGTTTTAGTCTTAGTGCTGACTTTAACCTTAGTCTTAATCTTAGTCTCAATAGTAGTCTTTCGCTTATTCTTAGCCTCAGCCTTGATCTTCTTCTTAGTCTTAGTCTTATTTAATCATAGTCACTGCGTTTCGTTTCATTTCGGGATCCCTGTACTTGCCTTTTTCTCTAGCTTGCTGCCATTCTCACAAATCAGTGGCACAGTTACTGCTTTCCAACTCTTAATACTGCAACAGTGGCAATGCTTCTCGTGCGTAGCCGAGTCTTTATTGTATTTCGAACCAGACGAACAAGCGCCCTCGCAGTCTGTGAAACCCTGTATGGGTGCTTTATTCACACACTTACCCACACCGGGCTGTACAATTTCTATTAGTTCTACTGTCAGCGGTTCAACCAAGCTGACCGGGAGGCAATTCTCTGTAAATTCAGCAAAATTAAATAACTTTCTTACCCTTACACTCTTTCACCCAACTTACTCTGGTCCTCGGCCGGAGGTTCACTCTTGCATAATTTACAGCAACCCCCTTCGGTGGTCACCAATAAGTGTGCCGGGCAGCCACTCACATCTGGGCAAGTTTCTTGCGAAGAAGACACTATCAACACATCACCTTTCCGCTGACAGCTGTAGATCGTGCAGTTATCGGCGCTCGTCCAGATGGCGTCCTCTTCGTACAGCTGATTGTCGAGCACACATTTCTCTTGCACACACTCGCCGCAACATTTGACCGCGGGCTGCTTATTCGCATAAGTAAAACCAGGCGGACAGAAAGTATCACAGGTCTCTGTCGTTGTTATGATTTGCGTGCTGCCGCTCGGTCCATATGTACACATCTCCTGCTTGCAAGGGTCCGTGGGATGTGGCCATTTTGCATTCAGTGCCTTAATGAACGTCTCGCCTTGAGTATTTTGGACAATGCACATATCCTTAGGTGGCTCTGTATTAGAGTTTACTAGTTAGATGCTTTCCCTCTTTCTGTTCACAAAATAGTACTTACCACACAAGTAATGTGGACAGCAATCGCCCAATTCCTGCTTCCTGACCACTTCGTAGAAGCGTTCAGCGCACTCCTTTAGCGCTGGTGGGCAGTTTCTCACATCACAGACGATCTCCTGTGTCGGACAACAGCCGAGTTCTTCTTCTACCACCTTTTCGCCTGGCTTGAGCGCACGTGGCAATTCCAGACGTTCACACTCCTCCTTCGGCTTGCATTCTATAAATTAAATATTGAGAGCATAATTGAGTCCCTCTTACACCACACTTTCTCCACTCAATCACTTACCACAAATGAATTGTGGACATCCATCCGGTCCGGTCTTCTGTTTTTTAAACTGTCCGGGTCCACATATGGGCATCAACGGCTCGAGACACAATTTCGCAGGCGGCAATTTCGCCTCTGGCACACATCGATAGCGTGGACAGCACTCATCGACCAACACAAACTTCTTCGGTGTAAAGCCTTCAGCGCAGATATTTTCCTCGACCAGACACTTTTGTTCCACACATTCCACTTTGCCTTCGAGGTTACAGCTACAATCGGTGCACTTGTCCTTCTTCCACTTCTCGCCCGGCACATGCACCAAGTCGTCGCATTTCACACACGATTTCTCGGGCACGCACTCGCCATTTTCCATTACTTTTCCCTGTGGACAGAAACAACCCTCGAAACGTTCTTCGGCCGAGCACATGTCTTTGATTTCTACAGTCTTTACAAACTTATCGGTCTTCATTATGACTGCATCGTATTCTTGCATGGCTTTAATCGTCTCGCAAGTCCTCGCACAACCACAAGGCTCATAGACTAGGTCTGTGGGACAATCGAAGGGGCAGAGATCAGGACGCCGCCAGTTCAAGCAAACGCCCTGTTTTGCGCATTCGTGCGCATAAGCGTTCATCGAATTGCAAGCACTTTGTCGTTGACTGCCGGGTTTGCAGAACTCCTTCTGACACAAAGCGACATATTTGCCAGGATCAATTATGATGTTGCAACGCCCGAAAAGTTCGTCATTGTAAAGCAACTGGCAGGGATCTTGTTCAACCGGTGGAGGTTCGCATTCATTCTCCGGTACGCTTTCACGGGAGCAAATTTGTAAGTCATTGCCTAGCTTAGGCTCCTCTGCCTGCCAACTTTGTAGCACAACCGCCAAGTCTGTGCTAGGCGTGCGTCCTTTTTTCTTGGCGGGATTTTCAAGAAGATCATTTTTGGGATTGTGGTCGCAATTGCCGCAGAGGCCTTCCATTTTAGCGCTGTACTTGATACTGGGCACAGAGAGCTGAGGTAGAGGTTAGAGGGGAAAAAGTGAAGTGTAAATATTTTTTTGGTAATCAAGAAAGCAGTGATGTATACCGCAAGCAAGGTATTCTCTGACGAGTGTATTCACACTAAGCACTTACCGCATAGGCCATATCGTCGTAGGATACCCGCAAGTCCACATGACTTTCCAGGAGTGAAAGCAACAATTCCTTGCCATTTAATTCGCGCATACTGATCCAAGATTTCTTGAAAGGCACCTTTTCCTCTGCGCCATCGATGAGAATTCGTGGCACCTTACCGACCTTCGGACGCTCAATATGTATGAGGTGATCGCCATTGAAGACATGGAAGGCTTTAATGCATGAGTCCTGTGTGGCATTGGCGGTGTAACCTAGTCGCTTGCAATAGTCCATTGTGACATAGACCTTCGGAAGTGAGAGGGATTTACATTTACTGTAGGGCTTCTACCCATGAAAGGACTTACCTGGAAATTATGCTGTCCTGGCAATACTATATCTCTCGACAGCAGATATGTACAGTTGCCGTTGAAGTGGAAATCTCTCTTGTCGTAAGTGAAGAACTGCGACTTGCCGATGGAATTGCAGACGCAGTCCTTGCAATCGGCCACAGTTACACATTTCTTACCCTGGCGCACAGTGCCTTCGGGACAATAGCAGCCGGGGAAGCAGGCGTCCGGTATTATGGGGCAATCGTCGGTGTTTAGCGAGTCACAGGATGGCTCACAGCGGCGTTTGTAGCAATCGGAGTGGATAAGTGGCGCAGGGCAATCGATATCTGTAAAGGAAAGGAAATATTATTCAAGTACTGGAAAGAGAATGATGACGTAAAGAGTGAGAATGAAAATAAAGATAAGAATGACGGTTAGAATGAGAATGGGAATCCCAATAAAATGTAGAATAGGGATAAGAAAGGGAATGATTTAAAATACAAATGGGAAAGAGAATGAAAATAAGAATGAGAATGAGAATGAGAAAGAGAATGAGAATGAGAATGAGAATGAGAATGAGAATGAGAATGAGAATGAGAATGAGAATGACAATGACTATGACAGTGACAAGGAGAATGATTATGAGAATGAGAATGAGAATGAGAATGACAATAACAATGACAATGACAATGACAATGTCAATGATTATGAGAATGAGAATGAGAATGAGAATGAGAATGAGAATGAGAATGAGAACGAGAATGAGAATAAGAATGAGAATGAGAATGAGAATGAGAATAAGAATGAGAATGAGAATAAGAATGAGAATGAGAATGACAATGACAATGACTATGACAGTGACAATGAGAATGATTATGAGAATGAGAATGAGAATGAGAATGACAATAACAATGACAATGACAATGACAATGACAATGATTATGAGAATGAGAATGAGAATGAGAATGAGAATGAGTATGAGAAAGGGAATGAGAATAGGAATTGAAATGGGAATGGGAATGGGAATGAGAATGGAAATAAGAATACCAGTGTGAATGGTAGAGAGATTTACAGTGGTATAATGAGTGGGAATAGAATATAGAGGGGGAATGAAACTTAAAGTGGTAATAAGAATGAGAATGGGATTGGCATACAAAATTTGAATGGGAATGAGATTAAGAATGGGAATGAAAATCAGGATGGCAGTAAGAGAGAGGATTGGGACTGAGGATAATGACATAATAAATGAGAATAGGAACGGCAATGTGGTTGTGAAAAAATCTGAATAAAATTGGAAATGAGAATGGGAATGAAAATGACAATGACAAAAAGAGAGAGGAGTGAGAATGAGTTTGATAATAAATATTTAAAATAAGACTGAGAATAAGAGTTAAAATGAGAATAATAACTAGGAAGAGAAAAAAATTGCAATGAGAATGCAAACTAAATCAGAGCCGATAACAAAAAGCGAGATCTTCAAGAAGGATAATCAATATAGCGGCTGTATTCGGGCAAGTATAAAATAGGGCGGGGACTATCCGTGTATTCGGGCAAACGTTCGGATATTCGTGTGTACGGATAAAATCCCCTTATCCGGTTAATATCCATTATATTTTGTAATCCGGTTAATATTCGGATACCCACCGNCGAGAGGATTGGGACTGAGGATAATGACATAATAAATGAGAAGGGGGAACGGCAATGTGGTTGTGAAAAAATCTGAATAAAATTGGAAATGAGAATGGGAATGAAAATGACAATGACAGTAAGAGAGAGGAGTGAGAATGAGTTTGATAATAAATATTTAAAATAAGACTGAGAATAAGAGTTAAAATGAGAATAATAACTAGGAAGAGAAAAAAATTGCAATGAGAATGCAAACTAAATCAGAGCCGATAACAAAAAGCGAGATCTTCAAGAAGGATAATCAATATAGCGGCTGTATTCGGGCAAGTATAAAATAGGGCGGGGACTATCCGTGTATTCGGGCAAACGTTCGGATATTCGTGTGTACGGATAAAATCCCCTTATCCGGTTAATATCTATTATATTTTGTAATCCGGTTAATATTCGGATACCCACCGTTAATCTTTTATTTTTTCTTTCAGTTATCCGGTTAATATTCGTTAATTTTTTTATCTGCATATTCGGATTTTAAATTAGATATTCGCTATCCCAATTATTCAGATATTCAAAAACTCCAGGTAAAAACTGCGGCTATTCGGATTTAAATCAGTATAAACTAGCCGTGTATTCGGTAATCGGGGTATTCGTGCATACGAATAAATCCACCAGATGTCCGGTGAATGTTCGTTAATTTTGCCGTCGGCATATCCGGATAGCCGGTTAGTATACATTTATTTTTTTTTCCGGATATTCGCATTTTAAATCGAGTTATGCGGATTTTCATAAAATTCGGATAGAACTACCAGCCCTAATATAAACCCTCTTTCATATCACATCCACATAAATACATTCTAGTTCCACTTTTTCTCAACNCATTTTTTTATCCGGATATTCGGATTTTAAATCGAGTTATGCGGATTTTCATAAAATTCGGATAGAACTACCAGCCCTAATATAAACCCCCTTTCATATCACATCCACATAAATACATTCTAGTTCCACTTTTTCTCAACCGAAAAAATTCACCTTTTTGATAAAAATCTACTTCGCTAACCACTTACCACACTGTTGCACCGCACGCCACAAATTCAATTGTATATTGGGATTAATTGTCAAACACTTGGCAACAAAGTCCTGCAGTGCATTGCATTTGCAAGTGTTGTCCTCGCCCGGATGTGCCCGCAGGCACTCACAAGTGGTCTCCATGCATTTGCTGACGAATTGTTTGTAGTTGACCGCCTTGTTGCACTTAACGAACACCGGATGCCTGCCGGGGGCAAAGCAAAATTACATGACATTACTACACAAAATTCAGCAGCGCACTTTGAACGCACATACACATACATAGCTACAACAACTGTATTTTAAACTACAATTACTTCTTGCCATAGCACCACCACCCGCCCCCGCATACTTACTTAATGGCATTGCATAGCGCTAGTGCCTTCTTCTGCAACTCAAATGGACACGCTTGTGGGTAGCACATTTCCTTCGGTATCTTTTTGTCGAACCAGCTGTCGCCAAACTTCACTGTGTTCTGCATTAGACTGCCATCTGGTGTGCGTTTGTCATTGTTTGCTATGCCATCATAGTAGCCACACAGACCATCAACGGTGCGTAAATACTTGGACGAAATGCCAATCTTGATGTAACCGATGTCATCGTAAAGTAACCAATAGCCATGTTTGCGCGAAACCACCAACACAGTGCTGCCCGGCTGAGAGATAACAAAGGCCGCCTTGCAGACGGGTGAATTCATAAGCTGCGACACGGTGTAGTCGAAGCCATTGAAATTCAATTTCATATTAGGCATAATCGTTAGTATGGCCGCTGATTCGATGTCCTTAATGGTGACCATTTTATGGCAAACCTTGCGTGATTCATCTTCGCAGAGGAGGTGGACTGAAATGAAGAGTGAGACATAAAGTTAGAAGAGAGAACTCTAAGAAAAGAGGCGAAAGTCAGTTTTTGGGAGCAATTTTCCTGAAATAGATTGAAAGATATGAACTACTCTCCTGATGGATTTCAAAAGACTAAGAAACTCAGCTCTTTGGAGAATCATAGATGCTGGTCGTCTTTTTTGACTTCCATTTTAGCCGCTGTCCTCTCTACCATCCCTTTTCCGTTCCTTTCAGTCACCTTTAATACACTCACCAGTTATCACCCAATTGGAATTCTTGATATCCCGCGCAAGTATATGGCTACAAGTGTCATACTTGAACTCAGTTCCATCAAAGGTTGTGAAGAATTTGCCACTTATTTCACACACATCATCTTTGGTGGGCTTCAGTACGCATGCATACTTGCTGCATTGTCCCGGCTTAGCATTGGACATATCCAATTCTATTTCATAGTTCTCTGGGCACTTAGGCTCCATACAAACAACCGTTTCATTCTTCTGCACCACTTTTGTGGGTATTGGCACACAAGTGAATTCGGCACACTCTTCCTCCTCCACGCCGGCTACTTCTTCTGTTGGCATCATAAGGAATTCTTCAGTTTCGCTTACCAACACTTTGGTCTTAGTCACTTTGAACATATTGCTGCCCATGGCTTCCATGTCGGTGAAACTAAGATTAGGAAAGCATAGAAAATTAGTTAAACTGTCTTCGAGTAAAAATCCTCTAGTTTTACTCACGACTTGGCGAACATCTGCGACATTTTACGCTGTTTCTTCTCAAAAACCTTAATCTTCATATTAGGTGGACATTCGGGTTCTGGGCACTTGATGATGACGGCTGTATGAAAGAGATATGTTGTATGAAGTTCAACAAAAAATAACTCAAAAAATATGTTATATTGCCTTTACGAATACTTGTCTAACTGTTCTTACCCAAATATGCACACTTATGAATTTAGTTTTTGTATCGAACTTTTAAAAAAAAATTTCCGTTCATACAGTATATTTTTCTAACTATTCCCATCCAAAAAAAATCGTGTTTACTTTTTATATTTTGAATGTTGAATTATATTAAGATCAAATAAGGAGAACCTAACACTTTTTCTGTACAGCGAAAAACCTTCAAACTGTTCCGACCTAAAATTTTTACCAATTGTGTACTCGCCACCTAAAATTCATCTATTAACAGCCTACTTTCTTTATAGTAGACAAATTTAATTTTTGATCCAAATTTTTATTTCAGTAAACTTCAAAATCGTTTCTAAATTGGCCGGAATTTCTCGATTAATGAAAAAACCTGAATTATTTTGTTGTTAACAAAACTTAATTTTGATTTAACCCTGGTCCTACNCGTGTACTCGCCACCTAAAATTCATCTATTAACAGCCTACTTTCTTTATAGTAGACAAATTTAATTTTTGATCCAAATTTTTATTTCAGTCAACTTCAAAGTCGTTTCTAAATTGGCCGGAATTTCTCGATTAATGAAAAAACCTCAATTATTTTGTTGTTAACAAAACTTAATTTTGATTTAACCCTGGTCCTACTTTTTTCCAAAAAATAATGACTTATTTCATTTTATAACAAAATTAGCACATAAGAATATAGTTCCGATAATCCTTTCTTCAAAATACTTGAGATAAACTATTCTTTTTCCTAAACAAAGTTTGTAGAAACCGTTGCCACTGAACCAAGAGTGCCTACGTTCATTCTTATCAGTATTTCCTCAAGGTTTATACATTTTCGTTTCCTAGCCTATGATGACAACTATTCCCACTGACAAGGCCAAGGTAGTAAGCGCATTAACAATCACTTATGCTTTTTTAGACAGCAAGGGCACTTTTCCAAGTCTCACTTTAATTGAAAAAACTGTTCCCATTATTGAAAAAATACTCACCTTATGCTTAACTAAAATTTTCATTTTACTTTTGAATTAGGAATATTGCTATATATGCATACTGCATTAAAAAACTATTCCCATCGACAGATCCTAAGCAAGTGTTCGTTATCGGTATTATTAACGAATGTCACGAATTTTTTGCTACATCTACCATTCGTTTAAACAATTCCCAGCCCCAAGCCATACTCACTTTCATTCTTATTAACAATTGGTTGCGGCGTCACTTCAAACTTCTTCTCACAAGAATCATCCTCATCATCCGCGCAATCTTGCACGCCATTACACCATAACAGCTCGGGTATGCAGTCACCACTTGACGGACAGATGCGCTGATATTTTGGACAAGGTTCACATTTGCAGAAGCAATCTGGCGTGACCAAGGAGCGTAAGTTAGTCTCCACGCATGGCGGACACTTTTTGGGCTTGCAGTTAGAATGGCCACCCAAAACGCAAACACACTCCTCGCACTGCTTATTCTCGTACTTGGTGCCGATGGGGTAACTACGCATAAGGATTTATAACATAAATCTGGGAACGGTTGATTATTTAGCTAGGTAGGGAAACTCACGTGCTATATTCTTCAACGCAGGGACACAGATTACTTTGCACGCAGTTCTGACCATCCCAGAATAAACCGTTCTTGCATTTACAAACACCATCTGGTCCTGTAGCGCCTTGAACGCCATCGCAGGCGTGACATTTCGGCAGCTCGCTTTCAACCTCGGGTTCCTCCTCCTTAACTTCCACTGGAAGAAAGTATCTCAGATTAAAGCATATTTGAAATTTATAAGCTGGTCACTCACAGTAAGTCTCGAAACATCCCACAGGCTCTATGCGCATATTTATATTCTTCTCCCACTTGGAAGGCACAATCTTGAAATACTGCGTCAGTATAGGCGAGCGGAAAGTGTTTATCACCTCGCTATTTGAATCATAATTTCCGCGGAATTGTTCTGGTTGACCGTCGAAGAAGAGCACTTTGTTCCAAATCAATTTATTCTTGGAGAACATCACCTTGAAGCTGGTAACCCAGCCATCTGGACCACCTTTCGTGACGAAACCAGAGATATTGCGGGGCGCCAAGAAGTCGAACTATTATGGAAGGAGAAGACAGTTAGGCATCCAAGACCCTACGTGTATTGTTCTCAAACACGCACCTGCACATATTCGTTTGGTGAGTTGGCCACAGGTCGCCAGCCTACAGGGGAGGAGAGCTTGAGCAGATCTATCAATCGTGGCTTCTTGGCCGGTTGTGGCAGTGTCCAGATGCTGCTGGCCTTCACCTGCTTCGGATGCATTTGACCGTTGTCAACACCCATGTGATCCACACACTTGCCTTCACCCTGCCAGATAACCGGTTGCGGTGTAGTCGTCAAAATGAGCTTTTCGAATTTGGACTCTGTTGTGGTTGCCGGTGTGGTAGTTGTACTTGGTTCGCCGCAACCAAGCAGCTCAACCCGCATAGCAATACGGCCATGCCATTTCAGTGGGTAGATGCGTAAGGACTTGGCTTCGACGGGTATGTTGAAGAACGTCTGTTGCGGCGTACGTGAGTCGAGTGGACCGTTGAACTTCTGCGGTGTATCGGACTCATCCACCACATAGTGATAGGACTCGCCGTCGTGGCTGTAGAGTATCTAGAAAAAGGAAAAGATTAATCAAAACGCAGACATCGTTGATTAAGACGACTTACCTTGAAAAGCGTGACGTAGTTATCGAAATCTGGACTACCGGCCATGATGACGCCAAATACTGGCTCAGGTTCGGGGAAGCTTATCTGCAAGTACTGCATCTGGTCATCTATGCCCGGCGACCAGCTACCGATGCTGCTCTTCAGGTTTTGAGGAATTCGTGCCATAAAAGGTGTACTATAGGGGTTGAGGCTGGAACTGGCATTGAAGGCGCTGTCAAGCAGTGGTTCGTCGCCTTGTATCAGAGGTTTGAAACTATAATAACGAGATAAACATGTCAGTTTAAGAGCTCCTAATTTGTATCATGAAACCTACCGTTCCGGCACGCACTGCAAATGTGGCGCAAGCGTTGGTGGCAGCAACTCTGGCTCGTGTTCTTTTGTGGTAGGTGTAGTGCTCAGGAAGTAGGCTGCTCAAAAGAAAAATCAAGTTAGTAGTGTACGCCCATTCACTAGCTAGGAATATACTTACGCAGCTTGGTCGTCTCAGGCAGTTTATTAGGCACACAAGTGTATGCATTGTCTATGCACTGACAGACCTCATCTTCGCTGAAGACCGGCATATGTGGCTGCACGTACTTCTCCGATTTATCCATACACGGACACTCGTCCATTTCCACGCAAGTTACCTCATCCCGCCAGTACTTACCCAGAGACCAGCAATCGGGTCGCTGCTTATCTACACAGCCAGGTTTGCAGTGTTCGCCCTTCTTGCAAAGACCACGCTTGCGCAGAACCTATAGAAGGCAGTGAAAACTCAACAATCAGGAGTGCTGTAAATTAACTTTCTTGCTGCACACTCACCGAACCGTAGAAGTCGCAAGTGAATTCACACTGATTGGCACACTCGACCATCACCTTTCCCTCGTCGCATTCGCTTGGCACTTCGACCTCCGCGCCAGGTATTGGCTTTCCACAGCTTGGTTTGATCTGCTGCACGGTCGCTATGTGATCACATACATACACAGTTGGATTGAACATCATGTATTCACCGCACGTCTTCTCCACGTACGTCCAACCACTGCCGTCATTAGTTGGCTGACAGTGCAGGAATTTATGACAGTCTCCTGGATATTCCTTATATTCCGCAATCATCGAATCGCATGGCTGTCCGATTTGTGGACGCTCAGTTGGCGTTGGTGGCGTCACCGGCTCCTCATCGCACTGGCAGAAGACGCGTATTTCATAATCGTGACATTTTCCTTGGCAAACGAGCCCCTCCTGCAGATCGCAGCGCACATTCTCATCCATATAGTCGGGCGATTCGTGAGTATCCACTACGCGACATTCAATTTTTTTCATATACTTCTTCTGACACGTGCCATAAATGCTCTCCATGCGATCGTAGCGCGGCAGCTTTTCCTCATCATTTAGATGTATAAGCTTGCCTGATGTATCGGCGTCCTTATCGAACCAGCGTGTCCAACCGCGCACACACTTCGGTTGTGTATCGGTGCCCATTGGATGCTGTGTGGTGCTATCGACCACCAAATTGACTGGCCGCTCCGTCGTCGTTGGCTCCCTACACTTCACGCCGCTGCATACTTCTTTTTTCTTAGAGCAGCGACACGTAGCGCAATCATCTGCATATGTGACATCACCTTCATAGTAGGTCTTGCCGTCGCGCAACATGCACACTGGCTTACAATCAGCCTTCGGTACACACTCTTTGTAGGTGTCGTTGAGATAGATCTTGCCCTCTTCGCAGGGCTTAATAAAGCAGCCTTCAAGGCAGTTCTCCTGATTGCACATGCGTTCGGCCATGCCCTGGTCGAGGAAATTATCACAGGTCTCGACGGCACAGGCGGGCGTGCAAGCTTGGTACTCAGCGCAGTGGGGGTCGCATTGCATGGCTGAAAAGAAGAGTAGGGTAGATAATAAATAGTTGATAGCTTGGGATTTAAAAACCAATTAAGATTCAGATTAGACTTTTTTTTACTCTAACATCTGTGCTTCTGAGAGAAGGAAAAATAAGCTGGCTAATTTTTTATCCGTTGCCTGGATCTTTAGTTTCCAAAACACTCTAGCATAGTGAGGGATATGCAGGTTCCAAACGAACGTAAACATCAGTATTGTGGGAATGGGGGGGGCTGAAGTTCTTTTGTAGACGCTCGTATTCTGGTCGAATTTTCGCCGTGTCGGAAGTCGCTCGAAGACATAGAGGTGGGATTGCAAAAGCTTTCCTTCAAAATCGTTTACTACCTACATTGTTCAAAGGACTTATTCAACGCAAGAAGATCCCTTGAACGCTGGCGGTCTTATCTCGACCAGAGTGACCTTAAAGTTTTACATAGGTTTCACCAAGTTGACACCATATCGATCTGTCCAGAAAAGGTTTCACATGGAGACAGAGTTGCTCCAACCCTACCTCTTTTCGAGGTGATACCGACTTGAGGCTACCTTTTTCACCAACTCATCCGCAATGCCATTTCCAGCAATGTGAGTATGGGCTAGTTGCCATATATCCCTTCCACGACTTCTTAAGTCTGACTGACCACAATCAATCCCAATTGAATACTGGTTAGTATTTTCCTCTCCTAGCTTTGAGCACACTGTAGATGGGACTGAGGAATTTATAGCCATAGATGTTTACCTCTTTTCGCATAGTAGATGTTTACCTCTTTCGCCGACGTCATTCAGGTGAGAAGCCCATTGAATTCTCTTAGAACTCATGGAGAACTGGCGGGAAAACTCCTGCCCTGGACCCTGACATCAAGTTTAGGCCCATCCAAATAGAAACTCATCAAGTAATCCTTTTAATTACTGTCTCCCATCCACTTATCTCAAGAGAAGAGATGAGTGGAGAAAAATCTCATTGCTAGCCACGCAGTGATCCGTGCTATTGAAGCCTACAAAAAATTCTACAGTGTCCAAATTCTGAGTCAGTTAATATCCCAGAGCTCCTAAGTCTGTCCGGAGGCGTTGCTATAGCAGCCCTGCCTACAATATAGACGGGCACTATATTAAGCAAGACGTTAAGTGCCAAAGTGGTCTCCACTGATGGCTATTAGTGAAGACCCTTGTACTCGCTCCAAGCCTCTGAATAGAGTAGTCGTCTCTAGCCAAATACTCCAAACATACAAAGCGTACAAAAGCAAAAAAGAACCTTAGAGGATAGGCCCCAACCCTTACCAGTTGCCCCTCTACAGCATTATAGAGCCACATACATGTGCTTTCAGGGTTCTATCTTCAATGTTACGCTCTTATAACTGCTTCCATTCAAATCCGAATACTTGACAATTTAAAAAAATTTCAAGAGAATCCTCCAACTGAAGGAAATGTCGAGTGGCGTCTTACGAGTTTCATCTTACTAGGGTTTACAGCGAATCCAAAAATTTACGCCTAACTTAAATTAGAGCATCGTCCGGCTGAACATTACTGAGCAGCCTTTACTCATTAGTTCCTCTAATAGTCATTAGTCATAATAGTTGTACTATAATCCCAAAAATTTTTGAGACAACAACTTCCCCTCGGCGTGCCATGTTTACTCTACACTACCTCCGGGACCCACTCATCCGCGATATTTACTAATCGTGCAGTCGGTCAGCAATCGTGCGGTTGTGCCGATCTCGCTTTCCTAGGAAGGNGCCAAAAATGTTTGAGAGAACAACTTCCCCTCGGCGTGCCATGTTTACTCTACACTACCTCCGGGACCCACTCATCCGCGATATTTACTAATCGTACAGTCGGTCAGCAATCGTGCGGTTGTGCCGATCTCGCTTTCCTAGGAAGGACAATTTCTTCGAAAGTACAGGGTTAAAAAATTTCTCAATATATCAACAAAGGCACCCACAGTGAAATCTTTGCGCATGAGGACTTCCTCCATCGACTTCACGAGTGTGAGCAGGTCGGTTTCGGCAGAACTACCTTGGATGTGCGCCTATTGAGCTCCTCACGTGCTATCTCGAAGTATCACTTTAATAATACATACATAAACAGCCCCCTTCGGAATGAACGCAACGACCCTCCAAACTCAGTCGATATTGGATTCCAAGACTTCAAAAACTCAATCATTCTATCCGGAATCAAAAAGCCGTCCACAGAAATAAGTTAAAATATGTAGAGCGGCCTTTTATGGGCTTCCATTGGAAAAGATTCTATAATGGGATTACTAGACTTTATTCTTAATTTTACCTTTCCCCGTTAAGATATTATGTAGTAAGGACTTTGAAGTATTTCACTCAGCCAAACTGAAAGTTTTTTGCTATTTTCTAATTAATTACAATACCGCCAAACTATTTGAATAAACTTATCAAATCCTCACATCACACCCTTGCACACTGAACGCTAATAAATCTTCAATCTTAAAATTTCTCTCAAGTGTGAATAATTGCCTGCGGCCACTATGAAACGATTTTTCGTCGATTAATAGCTTACTCAAATGTATAGAGGCTGCTCAGCGTAGCGCGAAGGATTACTTAATTTTATATCCCTGTAATATATGAATATGTGTGCGCTTCTAAGGAAATCACAATGAATAAGTTTCAAGTATCAATTACAGCTAATCGACAAGTCTACTTGAGGATTGAAGCACATGAGCTTACTTACATATGTATGTATGTATATATGCGCATATATCGACAGGTAGCTATGCCTTTTTGGCAGCTACTGCTGCAGCTCAAACCCTCTTGTTCTCCTCTACCAAACACTTGCCACTTGCATTGTCGCCAGCAACGTATGTGACGATTTGCACTAATGAATAATTGAAAAGACAATGATTTTCAGCAACGTAGTGTCTCAGTACCAATGGGTACTACTAAATTGAACTTTACACACTCACACACTTACAGTAAGTAACACTTTTACAACTACCTTAAATGTCTACTTGTGCATGCTGAGTACTTACGACAGAAGTGTGGCGTACGCCAACGTATATTGATGCCCTTTTGTGAGCAGGCGTGTGCATAGGCGGCCACCGCTGTACATAGACACTCACAATCGCCACCCTGGTCGCAAGCGCACGTATCGAATATGCAACGTTTCAGGTACTTCTCAACAGAGACTTCAGCGTGACAATCCTAGAAGAGGCGAAAAAAGAACAAGATGAGAAGCACTCTTAAGTATTAGTCATTGCAATGCGTATTGGAATTTTAATTATTCGTTAGCTACTGGCTGCTACCAACTTTACTGCTATCTGCTGTTGCGCTCTTGCGCCTTGCTCACCTTAAATATTTCCGATTTGAGGACACCACACTTGAGTTGTGCCCACGTCTCACGTTCCGGATGCTCTTTGCACGCATCTATGAGCGCTGTTGGTTGCGCGCAAAATTGTTGCACCTTCCATGCGTGTCCGAAAATGAGTGGACTTGTTTCGATGCCTTGCGATGGCGTTTGCATGTCATCGATGGCGTTGTCATTGTAATTGCCGCACAATCCTTTTACCTTATTCTTCCATTCGTTACCGAGTTTCACATAGACGCGTGTACCTTCATCCCATTTTAATTGCAATTTGAGTGGTATTACCTCGACCACAATGAAGACGCCAGCTTTGTAGATGTGAAAGGCGCCATGACCTTTGGTGTTGCTGGCGTCGCGTAGTTCTAGAAATGAAAGTGAAGAGAAAGATTTAGTAGAGATTAGTATTATTTAAATCTCGTTTAGAAATAATGTAGTACAAGTAGATCCATGAAATAGATGAGAGATCGGTAGGGATATTGGTGTACAAGTGCTGCATCTTTTTTGGCTCATCTGCTATTCGAAATGGAATTTTTGATTTCGGAAATCAGCCTTGTTGATTTCCAAATTCTCTCTGAAAGCATACATGATTTTAGGTAACTCAGAAAAAATTATTGTCCTATTATACAGTTCCTCAGAGCACCACATTATAGACTACAGGGTTACCTTTTATTTTTTTGTCAAACTCGAGGGTGTATTGATCACCACAACTTTTAACAGATTTCTTATCTTGGTATTGGTGTCTTTAACCATCGTCNAACCACATTATAGACTACAGGGTTACCTTTTATTTTTTTGTCAAACTCGAGGGTGTATTGATCACCTCAACTTTTAACAGATTTCTTATCTTGGTATTGGTGTCTTTAACCATCGTCCCAGCATCTCACTCATAACTTTTGAGAAGGGCAGCTGTCCCTAAAAGACCCCTTCAACCTTGCAAAATCAAGTCTAGTCTTTTATAGTAGGAAAATCCTGCTAAAAACTTTTGAGAGAAGTAAATACCATAAAATACTCTTTGAAATTTCTCTAGGTTTAGTTGCCCGCCTTAAAATTTATAAGACAATTTACGGGACAGAGCAGACCGATTTGTGGCTGTGTACATTAACTGGACTTATAATTCCTTTCCCGACCTCACTTTGCAAATACCAAAGAGTGTTCTAAGCTATGATGTGAAAGGTCCCGGGGCTTAGCTGTCGAGCTTCCGTCTGATTTACTGAATAAGCAGATATCCTGAACAATAAATATCTATAGATTTAGTTTGAATACACGATTGCTACTGTTCGCCATTGGACTTGGGGTATATGGAGGATTAAAGCTTTGAATGGATCCCTTAGTCCACCTGCAGTACTTCGCAACACTCTTCTCAGTAGTGTTGACTGACATTTCAAAAATTTTTAATTTATGCAGTTCGCTCTCATCTTCCCAGCGTATATGTATTTATGACAAGATTTTCCTATGAGGGTGCAAGAAATTAAGCTATGGCGATGGATTTTTATGTTAAAGATCTATGGGTCATACAATAGCGTCGGTATACATTTTTGTTTCAAGTTCTGTGTTTGGATGTTATTCCTTTCAAGTCATAAAATACGACCCACTGGTCCAACATTCGAGCATTAAGTAAAGTATCTTCCACAATGTATGTCTCCTTTCTCAAGCAGAAAGGCAATAACTGGCTCTTCCTCTGGTCTGACTGACCCTCCTCACCAGGGTTTCCAGATTCCTCGAAGAGTCAGTAACTCGACAAAGAAAGTCACCCACTCTATCGTGAGCTCTGACTCAGCAAGAACTATTCAGCGGCGAATCCCTTACAAGTCATACTTACTTTTAATCGCGGATTTGTTGGGATCTGTAATGTATGCCGTATCTGCTGTAAGCGTCAGCGTATCCTGTACACTTCCCGTCAGCGATATCTCTACAGACTTGGAACAAGTAACACCCATGGTGCCACACAGGACATTCTGTATGGTAACCGCAAAACCATCGCCATTGTCTGCAACACCTTTGGAGAGTATATAATCGCAGGCGCCTTGGAAGTCAAAATCATGATTGTCGTACGTGGTAAAGTGCGAGTCACCCCAAACGGAGCAGGTTGAGCCGCAGCCATTCGAGGAACACGACCAATTTCCGCTCTTGCACACGCTAAGCAAAGAGAAAACGTAAAGTTTAAAGTACGGGTACAATAACATTAAAAGCAAAATTACCATAAATTGCAATCCTCCTTTATCTTCTCACCATCCGAGTAGCTCTTACCGCCATGATGACATGAACAGTTCTCCGGCAGAACGCAAGCTTTACGTGAAGTGTCGTAGACATAACCAGCCATGCAGACACAGTCCGGTGTGCAATCCTCGAGGTTCTCCACATACTCGTGCATATTTTTACAGGTTTTCGGCTCTTTGGGCGCACACTTTGAGAACTCTGCGAAGGGACGCTTAGCACACTCGGCGCGTAGCTGTGATGAAGGTGGATATTTTTCCTCATCGCCAGGTTCGGCATCCTCACACTCCCACAAACCGTTGGTGCAGGTGCTGAAAGAGTAATGCAAATATAGTAGGCTTCAGACATTTCAAAGTGCCCTGAAATATAGACTTACCACAAATCGAGAAACTTTTCACCCGGACGCACTTCCTTGTACCCCGATTTGAAGGTGATGCCATCGTAGGTGCAAGGACATTTGTGCTGTGGCACGCATTCATTCTTTTCATTCAAGTATTCGCCATGTGGACAGCGACAACCATCAACACACTCCTTCTTGCAGCTGTTCTTAGATGCTAGATCGCTGCAAGTGCGCGCGCAGGTGTCGCCACATTCGTCATATACTTGACCCATAGGGCATTTAACAGCTGTGGGTCGCGCAATAGATACTTAGACTTTATATTAGGCTTACTAAAAACTGTTCTACTTACCACACTCTTTAACCGCCAAACGCCAACCAGTCTTGATGCCTTGCCGCATGCACTCAGTACCGTACGCAGCCAAGATGGGACAGAAGCACTTGTCTGGCTCATCTTTGCACGCGCACACATCGTACAGGCAATCCTCGTAGTACTGCTCCGGTTCGACAGTCCAATGACAGTCTTGGAATATGTCATCCATTATCCAGTTGCAGTATTTCTCCGCATCAGCGCGCTTATCGGGGTTGGCACTGCATGGATGGGGACCGGGCACAGTGTCAGTCGGGAAGTCGCAAGTGTCTTTGGTGCGCCATTTATCTGCGAACGGCTCAACAGCCGTCTCAATATCACCCTCTGGCGTTAGGAAGTCGTCCTGCGTATTCGAATTAAATGTGCCGCACAGACCTGCAGTCTGATTACGATAGCTGGGCGGAGCATCGATATAGACACGCGAGATGCCATCCCACCAAATGCGTATGCCATCAGGAAACTCTACCGTCATGAAACTCGAACTGGCCAAACGTATGAGTACTTCGCCAGCGCCAACTATTTTCGGGAACTTTGTGATCTCCTTTTCATTGATATGCACAGACATACCCTGATTCAGACGCACAGTGGTCGGTACGCCATTCTTGAGTGTAAAGCGGAGTGTAACCGATTTAGTGCAGGACGGATTCTCCGCAGCGGCCACTAAATTCAGATTTTCCGAAATAGCGCCAGAGCAGGCAACGTTCTCTGCTTCGACGGATAGTTTTGGCGTTTTCAACAGATAGTAGGAGCACTGACCCATAAAATCGAAGCGTTTGCCATCAAAAGTCTGATAATGTGGATCGCCGATGGCGCCACAGCGAGCGCCACACTCCTCATCCGTACATTTCCACTGGCCGCCCTTGCATGTGCTATTTGAAGGGAGGAACTGGAATTAGTAATCTGTTCAAATACATATAATCGTAGACTCACCATGTGTTACACTTCTTTTTAATAGTCGCTTCCGGCTTAAACTCCTTTCCGCGCATGGTGCATGGGCACAGCTCTTGCGTGATGCAAGCGTCCTTGTACTGCACAGTACCCTCGGGACAAAAGCAACCCTCATTACATTTCTCTTTGCTCGGCGTCACTGCCATGTCGCAGGTGGGTTCTACATCCGGGCCGCATGGCAAATAGACACGTCCATAGCTGCAGCTTACGGCTGTGAAATGAAAAATTAAACAAACAATCTATTGACTACAAAGCTTTTTCTACTTACGGCATATCTCCAAATCACGAAAACCATGCTCCAACTTTACACCCTTAAAGCTGCATTCTTTCGCCAACATAGCCACCGCATCGCAATTACACATCTCTGGATGCTCACGATTCGGACAGTTGCAGTAGTCGTCCACGCAAGCTCGCAGCAGTGCCTCGAAGTTGATACCTTTCACGCAGTCCGACAGTTTTTCGTTAGACAACAGACGACCACAGACTTCGATAGCCTTTTTCTGTTTAGCTGCTTCGCAGGACTCTGAACCAAACTCCAGTTCGCGACTATTTTCCATTATACACAAATCCGATTTGTCATCAACGCGCCAGGAATCTGTGAAGGACTTGACGGTCTCGACAACCACGCCGCTTTTTGCCATCAAGTCATTCTTGTAATCACCATCGAGTGAGCCACAGAGACCGCCAACTTTGGACCACAGCAATGGGCCAGCGTGAATGCCCAAGTACTGATGACGATCCCAGTCGATTTGCAGGCCAACAGACTCCAACTGAATTTGCATATGCTGTGCAACTGGTATGATTTTCATGCCCATCACCTGTACGGGTATGGGAAGATTCTTAGCCGGCGTCGATAGGTGTACAGTACCGTCTGAAAGCGTGTAGAAAAGTGGAAAGAGAGTTATTGAGGTCAAGAAAAAAAATTATATTCTGGACGCTTACTTATATTATCCAACGTGTATGGTATTGATTGCCAGTAAATTTGCAGGGAGTGGGCACAGCCATAGCCGGAGCCATATGGACAGGCTTTCAGGGTTATATCAAAGGTGGCATCGATTTTGTCGTTAATTAGCGTGTGCGAGCAGGAGAGGGGCGCTCTGAAAGGGCGTGAATTTAGAGATTATAGATTATAGATTATAGATTATAGATTATAGATTATAGA